TCGACTAATCGGCGACACCTTTCTGAGCTGCTGCGCTATCATACCTCCCAGTCTGGAGACAAAATGACTTCTTTTTTGGAATATGTCTCTCGCATGAAAGAGACCCAGAAGTGCATCTATTACATCACTGGTGAGAGCAAAGAGCAGGTTGCCAACTCTACTTTTGTGGGGCGAGTGCGGAAACGGGGCTTCGAGGTAGTGTATATGACAGAGCCTATTGGTGAGTACTGTGTGCAGCAGCTCAAGGAGTTTGATGGGAAGAGCCTGGTCTCAGATACCAAGGAGGGCTTGGAGCTCCCTGAGGATGAGCAGGAGAATAAGAAAATGGAGGAGAGCAAGGCCAAGTTTGAGAACCCCTGCAAACTCATGAAAGAAATCCTGGATAAGAAGGTTGAGAAGGTGACAATCTCCAATAGGCTAGTTTCTTCACCCTGCTGCATTGTGACGAGCACCTATGGCTGGACAGCCAACATGGAGCAGATCATGAAAGCCCAGGCACTTCAGGACAACTCGACGATGGGATACTTGATGGCCAAGAAGCTCCTGGAGATCAATCCTGACCATCCCATCGTGGAGACCCTGCGGCAAAAGGCGGAAGCTGACAAGAATGACAAGGCTGTCAAAGACCTTGTGGTGCTGTTGTTTGATACTGTGCTGCTCTCCTCGGGCTTCTCACTTGAAGATCTCCAGACCCACTCCAACCGTATCTACCGCATGATTAAGCTAGGCCTAAGCATTGATGAAGATGAAGTGACAGCAGAAGAACACAGTTCCTGATGAGATCCTCCACCTTGAAGGGGATGAGGATGGCTTTCGCATGGAAGAAGTAGATTAGTAGGAGTTCTACCTGCAAATCTTGTGCCCTGTGTATAGTGTCTCCATGGCTCCTCAAGAAGCCCTGAGTGGCCCTGGCCCACCTCATTTCCTCTGCTGATGTCTAGTGGTTTTTCCTCTCCTGTCTTTATGCCTAAGGCGGGATACAAGGGCCACGAGCCTTCCCTTCCCACATTTGACATTGGGTTTGGAATGTTGTGTGTCGTAGGGATTTTTTTGTTGTTGTTTATTTTGTTTTGAAATTAAAGTATGAAAAATAAAGAAGATGCAGTTTTATACAAAAAAAGAATAAATTTAATAAAGCAAGTGGAGAGTTTATGTAAAGCAGTCAGTATACTGTAGTGAACTGAACATCTTTTGTATCCAGACAATGTGAGTTAAACTATAACTCTGCACCCTATTATCTGGGTAACTGATATTTTCTTAAATTTATCTGAGTCTTCATTTAATCAACATAAAATAGGGATAATTAATATATATCTTTGAGTATTCCAAAGTATATGTAATGTATATAAAGGTGCTCAATATATGGTGTTTAATATTAATAATTGCAAATCACTTTGAACAATTAACTGTATATTACATATTTGTATTGTATGTTGTTCTGTATCATTTGTTTCATTTACCTGTTCCTAGATGGAAGTCCTTTAAAAATAGATTTTGTGACTCAAAAAAATTCATGGTTATAGAAATTGTATGGAAACATGCAAAAATATCTACAACGAAGTAAGCAACATAAAAAAATATATATGCATGTATTATGACTGGAAGGAAATGAACCAGAGTGTCAACAGTCACTCTTATAGGCTGGTAGTTATGGTGGAGATTTGTTCCTCAATTTTTTAAGGATTCAAGTGATTCTATTACTTTTAAAGCTCCTCCCCGCCCCCCACACACACACACAAAAGTTAACTACTTAAGTGTTTCCTTCAGAAAAAAAAGGGTGAGAGAAGAATCAGCCAAGAGTCCCCATTCCTTTTAAGGGCTTTCTAAGTCCAGTGTTTTCTGAATCAGTCAATCTGCATTCATGAAAATGTCTTTGTTGAGAAAAAAATATTATAATACTTGCTAAGAGTACTATACCCATTTGCTAGCTATTCTCCACGTACTGGGTGGCCTCTTTTCTTCTGTCTGTTGGGTTAAGAAGACCTACTCTCCTTAAGCAATGTCCTATGGCCCTTTATTTTTTTCTCTGGAGTGAAGTGAGCCTTTTAAATGAAAGCTCCAACCTATAAACAGCTGTTATGAATAAGACAGGCCTGAGGATAAAACAGGAATATTTTCCATTTGGAGAGGGCATTATATATGATTAAGAACAAGACATGAAAAGACATAACAAGGTATAAGAAGAGGAAGGGAGGTTATCCCCAATGCATATATATATATATATATATATATATATATATATATATATATACAGAACTATGGATTCAATAGTAATGTTTTAGTTAAACTACCCTATAATAGATTGGAATGAATGTAAAAGGGTTGGGAGAGCAAAAGGAATGGAAGGGAATGGAGAGAGAATGATAAATAATGTTTGACCTTGAATATACCCACAAGGCATTTTTTTTTTGCCAATCAAAGCTTACTTCAATTTTATATACAATCATGGGGTTTTAGAGCTGGGAGATCTCTTTGAGATAATCTAATCTCTCCTTATTACATTTAGAGAAATGAGAGGCCTTGAGAGAGGAGTGGTGATGTACCTAAGGCTACTTTGTCAGGTGTTCTTCTGAAAGACAATTTGGAATAATGATTAAAAATGTGATCTTTGGCATCAGATTGTCTGAATTGAAATCTCAGCTCTACAGTTTACTAGCTGTGTGGCCTTGGACATGTCACTCAACTGCTCTGTTCCTTGGATTTCTTTATAAAAGGGAGATAAAAATAGTACCTATTTCATAAGATGCTATAAGAATTAAAAGAGCTAATATATAAAAAACACTTAAGGGGCCGGCCACGTGGCACGATGGTTAAGAACTGGCTTGGGACACCATAGGGCCCTGGTTCAGATCCCACATATGAGGGCCAGTGACACTGCCCTCTACAGCTAAGATGATGAACAACAGCTGAACCTGGAACTGGGCTGCCGTGAGTCGCCGGCGATGGCGTAGGCTGCAGCCCCTGTG